AGGAGTGCACACCATGTTTCCAAGGACCAAGCTGCCTAAGGCTTCGGGTGGTCAGCGTGGTCTCCACAACTCAGTCTGGAGGGAAGCAGTGTCCCTGCCTGACGCACCCCCACTGGCTGGGTGCTGGGTCCTGTGGGTCTCTATGGAGGAAGGACCCACACTGCCCCTGCTGTCCCCTGTGCCTGTCTTGGCGTGCTGGTGGGATTCTGGGGTGCAGAGCAGTGTCCTGCGTGCACACCTGGGGGCACTCGGTGAGGGACCGAGGATGTTTCAGGGCTCTCAGGCACCTAGCAGGTAGACAGAGACTGGCAGCCTGTGCTTGGGGTCTTCCGCTGCCCTCTGCCCCCAGCCATGCTAGCTGAGGCTCCACTTCCATCCCTGTGGCCATGGGCGAGGTACAGGGCTGGGCGGGGGCTGGGGCACCTGCTCAAACGCTTGGCTGACCTGAGACCTGGGCCCCAGGGGTTAAGGCGAGTGCCCTGGCTTGTGGGAAGGGCAGATGGGACCCAGGTAAATAACACCAGCTGCACAGTGATAGGCAGAGGAGGTGGGCTAGGAGCCGGGGGAAGAGTCTGCAGGCCAGGGCAGCAGGTGCTGTGGCCAGGGCGCAGGGAAGGGAGAGTGCCTCGGAGGATGGGTGGATCGAGGCCTGAGCGTTTGGGTCGGGGCAGCTGAGTTTGATTCCAGGCAGGTGGAGGCACTGGAGGCTCCTGATCCCAGAGCGACGTCCTGAGAGCTTAGAGATTAACGTGATTCCTCCAGCCTGAGGGGAAGGACTTGGGCTGCGGCTCCCAAGGGTGGCAGCAGAGTGCTCCCCGGGGATGTGAGGGGGTGTCTGCTGCTCTGCTGGGCTCCTCGCTGAGTCCTACAGGCATGGCCACTGTTGCAGAGGCTTGGTGGGCAGGCGGGCAGCTTGTGCCCAGACTTGCACCCTGTTCAGATAATGCCAGGGCTTGGGGTACTTTCCCAGGGTGGAGGGCTGCTACAGCGGCTGTGGGACGACACCCCGCTCCCTAGCGTCAGGCAGTCGGGACCGGCCCTGGGGTCGAAGCAGGCTGCACACTGGGTCTTTCCCTGTCCCTGAAGAGCTGAGTGGATGTCTCTGCATGCCTGCACCGTGTCCACGCCCTGTGCTCTGGGTCTGCCGTCCTGCCCCACCTGGGCCTGTGGTTGTAACACCAGTGGGAAGCCCTTTCGGGTCTGCGCCAGGTAGCCAGTAGTGCCCTGCAGGGAGCTCTCAGCCTGGGTCCTAATGGCTTCTGGGCTGGGTGAGTCTAGGTGTGGAGCTGACCTGGCCTCTGCCCACAAGATGCCAAGCGCTCCCTGCATCCCTCCCAACCCCCAGTTGTGCCAACTAGAAATGTCTGGGGCATTCTGGAAATGGCTGGTGCGTGGGTGATTGTGGTGATGCTGCCCTGGTGAGTTGAGTCCCCACAGCGAGCCAGGGATGGTGGCCATGCCCTCGAGGAGGCAGAGGTGGGAGCCTGGGCCTCGTCCAAGTACAGGGGTTCGACACTGGGACCCTCTAAGCAGCCTGCGCTGTGCAGCTCCTCCCACTTGGCTTTGGGTTGTGTTCTGTCCCAGCCTGGGCCTCCGAGCAGCAGAATCCCAGCCACCGCCCTGGCCCATGCTGGGTCTTGCCCCAGCTGGGCCACAGCAGATGGACCTCCGGCACCTGTCACTGTGTGGCTGCCCAGGGCACTTGGCCCTCTCTGAGCCTCCTTCCCTCTGGGAAATGGAGCGCGAGCAGCGCCCAATCTGCTGGCTTCCAGGATGCTTCGGAAGGTGGCTGCCACTTCCACATGTGTGCCAGCTGGACAGAACCCTGGGGGAGCCCTCATGAAGGCACATGGTACCCCCAGGGCTGAAGTCACGGGCCTAGCAGCTCCTTGGTGGCTGGGGCACCGCATCCCTTCCCCTTGGCGGTGGGCATCAGGGACCTGGTGGAGGTGGCAGGGTCTGGGCAGGAGTGAGGCTGAGCATGCGTAATGGTTCCTGCAGCAGGGCCTAGCCAGGCCCACATTCTGAGGGGTGCATAGCCTGGGGTGGTGTCTGCTGCCTAGGGATGCCTTGCCTACGTTTGCAGAAGTTCTGAGCCCAGTGTTTTCAGAGCTTCAGGTCTTGGAGTATTTCTGAGGTTTGGAGCAGGGGTTCCCACAGATGAGGGGGTTGCAGGGCCACCAGGACTACTGGCCAGTGGCAGCCGAGGAGTCAGCTTTGCTTGTGCGTTTGTCTTGGGGCCTCAGAGACCAGGCTGGCGGCCGGGCCTGAGCTCCCGAGCATGGGCGGGGATGGGCCTGGTAGGGTGAGACTGCCGTGCCTGGTGTTGGCTGTGGCACTGAGCTTTGGGGGTCTAGTGCTGGCGGGTGACCCAGCGCCGTGCCCTGCTCCTCCACTCTCACACCCCTCTTCCACCCTGCCCTGCTCCCTGCTCCGCACACTCCCCTGCCCGAGGTTCCTTGTGCCCTGCAGGAGTCCCCTTCTCTGAAGGAGAAGTCTCCGTCCAGCCCCCGTCTGCTGCCCCGGGTCCCTGAGAAGCTGTGGTTCCCCTCCCAGCAGCAGAGGGCTCGGGGGCAGGCGTGGGAGGTGTCCGGAGGGTGAGACGGAACCCAGGTCTGCCTGTTGGGAAGCCCTGTGCTTCCCTCGAGGCGCGAGTTTGGAGCAGACCAAGGAACGGCTACGGGGATCCTGGCAGAGGCCTCCCGGCCTCCGGACAGCTGCTGCTCAAGGTCCCTGTGTGGGGTGCAGGGCGCTGCGTGCTGCCCACACCGTGTGTGGCTGTGGCAGCCGTGGGGCTGGTGCCCTGGTCAGGGGAGCCCTCAGACATGGGGCCAGGAGCGCCCCGGGTGTTTGCAGCGCCCCGATCACTCCAACGTGTCTGTTAAAGGCCTCTGTGGTCCCGTGGCCAGCGCCGCCTTCCAGCTGCAGGGCTTTGCCGTCCTCCCAGGAGGAGGCCTCTAAGCAGCTCTTTCTGTCCCCTTCCTCTGGCTCTTGGCAATCACTAATCTTTCCGTCTCCATAGATTCCTCCACTCTGGGCATTTCACATTAATGGACTTAGTGCGTCAAGATGTGGCCTTTGGAAAAAAAAAAAGATAAACTGGGCCAAGGATTTAACTCAGCGGCGTGAGCACCCGCCTGGCAGGCGCAAGGTCATGAGTTTGATGTCTGGTTCCAAACAACAAGGACAGATGTGGCCTTTGGTGGTGGCGTGCCGTCTGTGAGGCTGGCCTGTGTTGGTAGCGCCCTCCCTTTTTGCAGCCACGTTAAGACTCCCTCGCGTGGACGGACTCGTGAGAGGGTGGCCAGTCGCCTGTCCCTCCCCTCTGGGTCTCCTGCCTGGCGTTATTTTTAATTATGCTCGTTGCCTTGGTTGCTCTCACCTTGCTGGGGCAGAATACTTGGCACCCAAAGTTAGAGGCGGACAGGTTTCTTTCCCGCGCGGCAGGGTCGGTCCCTGTCCAGGCACAGTCTGGGTTCTCGCGGTCCCCTTCCCTCCCGTCACCCCGCCTCTCGTCCCGTTTGCTACGCTCTATTTCCAAGGTTTCTCTTTTCCCTTCCCCTTGTTTTCTCCCCTCTCCCCTCTTGCTAGTTCCCTTCTCCATTTGAACATTTTCCTCTTATTTCAGAATGCATTCTGGGGGCTGGGGATTCTCAGCATAAGCGCCTGCCTTGCAAGCAGGCGTGAGTTCAACCCCTGGTACCGATAAAAATGAAAAAGACAACAACAACAACAAAACAATGCGTTCTGGTCCTCCCTTACCCCAGAGCGGTTTGTTTGGCTCACAGTTCCTGGAAGCTTCGGTCCATCAGCGGCCGATGTCAAGGCAGGGTGGCTCCCAGAGCAGAAAGGTCCGAAGCAGGCAGGAGGCCGCGGAGCAGGCAGCGGACGCCGGCTCTCTGCTCGCTGTGTCTTGTCCAGGCTGCCGAGGACCGCAGCGGCCACACTCCTAGTCCTGAGCGCAGCGCCGCACCACCGCTTGGTCACACAGCTCTCCAGATGCAGCCACCTCCGAGCACCGCAGGAGGGTCGGGGGGACATCTGGACACTGCCGTGACACCCCTGAACGGTGGTCCGTGCGCAGATGGTCAGACCTGCGTGGAACCAGCCCCGCCATGCACAGCTGTCTGTGTCTCCCTCCTTTGCACTGGTGGTGGTGTATCACAGTTCTGGGGGACCCGTGGAGGGGCAGTTCTGTAGAAGTCGGCCTCGCCCCGCTTGGGACTGTCAGTCTGCGTCTGAGTGCGTTTAGCATGGACAGCAGCCGATCTGCACAGTCCACCCCAGTCTGATGCCTCTTCCCCAGAGCGCTGTGGCCGTGGTGGGGCGGGGCCTTCTGGGTTCACCCTGCAGACTCCTCCCGGGGCGAGGGGCAGGGTTGTTGGGCACAGCTCTGCCACTGTGGGTTTTCAGTTCTTGCGCAAGGACCCTCGGAGGGCTCCTGAATAAGAGTGTGGGCTCCTCTTGGACCCACAAAGGGTGTCCGGGAGAACCTGGAGGTGCCAGAGTGCTCTCCAGGGGCTGTCCTGGATTCTGTCCCTGCCCCTAGGGTGAGTGCAGGCAGGGAATGTCCTACTTCTCCTGGAGCCAGGGCGGGGCAGGGATCCTGGGCCTGTCTTACCTGGTGCAGTGAACCCCAGGGGTGCTGGTGTGACCCCCGGGACTCGGGCCCCGGGCCCCTCCTGATAGCAGAGCCCCCCCCCCTGTGCCCCTCAGCCTCGCCCCTTCCCTGCCGGGTGGCCTGGGGGTGCAGAAGCAGGAGTCGCAGCACTCCTGTGCATGAGCTCGGTGTTGTCCACCAGTGTGCATCGTACTGGCCGAGGGCTGGATCCAGCTGTGGTGCTGTTTCCCCTGAGCTGAGTGGGCGAGCACTGGCCGCTATGACCACAGGGGAGGCCGTGAGCCGCTTCCGGGTGTGGGGGGCACCCCAACTGCAGAGGCCTGGGGAGGGGGGACAAGGAGCCGGGCACTGTGCCCCCTGACTCTCTGCTTGCCCGCAGGCTGACGCCCCATTACATCTACCCGCAAGCCATCGTGCAGCCCAGCGTGGTGATCCCGGCCGCCCCCGTCCCATCACTGACCTCGCCCTACATCGAGTACGCGCCCGCCAGCCCCGCCTACGCCCAGTACCCGCCAGCCACTTACGACCAGTACCCGTACGCTGCCTCGCCCGCCACGGCCACCAGCTTCGTGGGCTACGGCTACCCCGCCGCCCTCCCGCAGGCTCTGTCCGCTGCGGCCCCCGCGGGCACCGCCTTCGTGCAGTACCAGGCGCCACAGCTGCAGCCCGACAGGATGCAGTGAGCCCCGTCCACCCGGGGACTGCGGGTGCCCCCAGCCTCGGTGTGCCCAGAGGCCCCTTGGGTGCTGCCTGAGCCCTGGGTGGCTGAGAGCTGGCTCCCCTCACGTCCAGGTCTCCTCATGCCTCGGGGGACCTGTAGAGGAGAGCTGACCCGGAAGAGGCTGCGCTGCGTCCTGGCACCGAGGCCTCCTGTCCCTGCCCTCGCTGCAGGCGCCCGCAGCCCGGCTCCCCCAGGGCGTCTCTCGGGCTGTGCGACACCCCGTGCCTCAGGTGCCTTCTCAGGGGAGCCCAGAGGAGAGACGCGCAGCGGCCCGTTGCAGGCGCCCGCTCACCGCGGGCCTCGCCACCTCCTCTCCCGGGGACCCCATGCTGCCAAGGCCGGAAGGCGGCCCGCTGCAGGCAGCGCCCCTCGGTCGGTCGGAACACTGCGACTTCCTTCCTGTTGTCCTTGTTTGCTACTAAGTGATTTCAGAATTTGAGTCTATTTTTTCAGCAGAGACTGCGGCCACCCAGAATCACAAACCTATTTTTGACTCTGAGAGACTTGTTTTTGCTGATGGTTCCACGGGGAGACCACACCACGACCGCGATGACGGCACGGCAGGGTCGGTGTCTCTAACGCTGTCCGCGGCCCCGTCATCCATCACTGCCCGAGGGGCTTCCTGGCGGCAGCAGGGAGCCCGCCTGCCCGGTCAGGCCAGCGGGGCCGAGCTCTCTGCTGTGTGTCTGTCGCCGTGAGGCTGAGTCACCGGCAGCTCCCAGCCCAGCGGGCCTGGGGAGGGCAGGGTGCAGGCCCCTGTGCCCCACCTCCCCTTCCCCCGGGCCCGGGCCCCCTGCTGCCTGGTAGAGGGGAGGGGAGAAGTTCTGTGCTGGGCGGGGAGGGCCCCCTCGGAGCCCAGGAGGGGTGCGCGGATGGCGTGTGGCGTGGGCAGGCTGGGCCCCAGGTGTCCCTCTGACCTACCTCAGGGAGCTGAGCTTGCAGGCGCTCTGTGGCACGCCTGGTATGTCAAGGCCCGGAAAACAAAGGTAGCTAATATTATTATAATATTTTTATTAGAATATTCTGATTATAAAAATAAAACTTGTTTTCTTTGAAGAGAACATGGGTCTTCAGGTTTCTTCTCTCGAAACTGAGTGGCCGAGGCATCCCTGTGCCTTGGCTGTGGTCTGGGTACCTCTGAGGCCGGTCCCTGTTGGCCTCCGGGGTCTGCCCAGGACGACTGTATCCATCACTGCTGCGCCCAGCTCTGGCCACACCAGCTGTCCCTTGGGCATGGCGGGCAGAGCCCACCCTGGGGCCTTGGTGCCGGCCGGTCCCTGCGTCACTAGCTTTTTTGAGCTGGCTGCCCTCTGATGTCCCCCATGCCTGCATCTGTCCTTGTCCTGTCTCCGCGGGGCCAGGGCTGATCGGTGTCCCACCAAGTGCTTGCCGGACACAGTGGGAAACAGGCCCTCCAGCAGCCTGAGCATGATTCCTGTGCGGGCGCTGGAAACCCCAGCGGAGGGCCGGCCCTGGCTGGCAGTGGGGGCTTCAGGGCTGCCCGGTCCACTCAGAGCTGGCTGAGCTGGTTTGAGCTGGGAGAATCTGGAGGCGGTGAGCAGAGGGGATCGGACCAGAGTCCCTGCAGCACCCAAGCGGCGGGGGCTACAGCAGGTACAGAAGGACCTGTGGGGCACAGGAGCGGCTGCCACCGGCCAGAGGCAGGCTTTCTCCAATCCCTGATTCCGCTGCCCCCCTCAAGCACCTGAGTTTGCAAACACTGGGGTGAGGTCAGGAGGTCAGCAGGGCTCACAGACAGTGCTGCACTGATAGCCTGGGGCCTGGGAGGCTGTGAGGGCACAGCTAGGTTATCAGGGTTATCGGCAAGGCCACAGCACATTTCCTGTCCCTATCAGCCAGTGACAGGCTCAGGAACCGGCCCTCAGGAAGCCTCAAGGCCTGGCGGGCACCCCATGGGGCCCAGGATACCCTGGGCTGAGTTGAGAGCCTGGAGCTGGGGCCAGGGCATTGGAGAATGACGGACTGCCACCTGCAGAGCGGGTCCAGTGCAGGACAGGAGCCTCCCCTGGGAGGCATACCAGTGCTCAGGGAGATGAAGTGGGGGCGCAGCCCCACCCAGAGCCCTGGGGTGAGCCCAGCTAGGCCTCTCTGTGGTGTCCAGCAGCAGGGGGCTCAGGCCTGCACTGTGTCTCTGTCAGCCAGGTGACGTGGCCTAGTGAGGGGCCATGGGCCAGGTTGGGCTGCCCCTCAGCTCCCGCCTCCTCCCGTGTGTCCTGCTGTTCCTGGCCCGTCCCACCCAGCAGAGGGCCAGGGTGTGTGTGCATCACACATGCTTGTGCATACACACCCCGCAGACATGCACACGGATACGCTCCGGGTGGGTGTAGACACCCCCAGACTCACCTGTGCACAGATGTGCAGGCACACACAAGCGTGTGCTGTCTGTGGGCTTGTCCGTGTCTGTGGGGACACACACCAGAGACACGGGCTGTGCGCGTGAGCCCAGATGCCCAGACAAACAGACATCCATGGCCCGTCTGCACGCTGCTCTGAGGCGGGGCGGGAGGGGCCAGAGTGCAGAAGGCCCTGGGCCCCCAGTGTGTGGGACCCAGGGGGCTCCCCTCACTGAGAGGCCCCCACTCTGCCCACCTCCTGGAGGGGCTTCTCCAAGTCCCCCACCGCTGCTGCTCATCTAGGGCGCATTCCCTAAGGACGCACTGGGGCAGGCAGTGGGCTGTGGCCGGCCAGCTCCCGAAAGCGAGCCCACACAGTACAGAGGCACCTCGGGGCCGCCGTCCCCAGCCTGCTCTGCCCCTGTGCCCTGGGGAGGGGTATCATTACTCCCAAACCCAGCCTCAGTTTCTCCCCAGCGCAGCTCCCTAGGCTGACCTCGGGGAGCACCTAGAGTTCCGCCTGCCTTGTCCACCCTGGTCTAGGCTGGCGGCAGCTCCGTGGGGACCCCACACTCAGCACGGGTCACGGCCCCTGTGGGCTCGTGCCTGCTGGTCCTGGGGCTCTTGGGGCAGGGAAGCTGCCTTGCTGAGGTGATGGGAGGGGCCAGGTTGGGAACCGATAAACCCAGAGCCTCTGGGAGGGAGGGGGCCACACTTGCGAACAGGAAGCCACGCGTGGGAAACTGGAGCCCAGTGGAAGAGAGCACACTGGGTGTCGGGGGGGTTTCTGGGCCCCTTGATCCAGCTGCACCTGAAGCTGGACCCGAGGACATTCCTCCTGTCCCTTAAACCTGTGACTAGGGTTTTCTGCTGTTTGCAGCTGCAGCTCTAAACATGTACCCTGTCTGACCATCTGCGTTCCTTAAAATTAGGTTCCGCACCATGCAGAAAACCCACAGTAACAGGGGTCCCTGGCCACTTTTTTTTTTTTTTTTTTTTTTTGTCTTTTTGAGACAGGGTCTCGCTATGCAGTTCAGGCTGGCCTTGAGCTCACTTTGTAGCCCAGGCTTGTCTCGAACTCAAAATGATCCTCCTGCCTCAGCCTCCTGAGTGCTGGGATTACAGGCATGAGCCACCACGCCCAGCTTACTTTTTTTTCTTATGTAAAGTAATTGTGAAGCCTGCAGACCAGGACTCGGAGGAGAGGCGTCCAGAACTCACGGTCCATCTTCCCACGCAGCATCATAATGCATAGCTTCCTTCTTCACCATGGCTGCTGGCGCCCCAGACATCATGTCCAAGTTCCAGGCAGTAGAAAAGAGGAGGAGGCCTAGAGTACTTCAAGCTGAGGCACCCAGAGGTTGATTAAGAAATGCCTCTTCTGCCTCGCAGCCAGCCCTCCTGAACTAAGGCAGCGTGGCAGAGGTGTGCAGGTGTCTAGCTGGGCACACAGCTACCGGGGTACCGAAGGCGCCCGTTACGCAGATAACATGCAGTTTCTCCCTCAGGACTCCTGGATTTTAATGCCCGTCTCTTGGGGCTCTTTGGAGATGGGCGCCCACGAGGCCCGCCCACGCGGGCAGGGTCTGCAGGGGTGCTGTTTGTTCCGCCCCTCACACCTCCAGCAGAGCAGCCTGGGGGTAGGGGCGCCAGCCAATCCCGGCCCGAGTTCCTCCCAGCAGATCCAGGAGGGCAGCTGAAGTTTCTGCAGGCCCCGCTGGTCGCAGCGTCTCCCCGTCCTGCAGGAAGGCGGCCCAAAGCGCCTGGGCACACGCTGTCCCTGGATGGGCACCGGGTCCGGGAGCTGCCCTGCGGTGCCCTCCTGCGAGCCAGCTTGGTCTTCTCCCTCGGGCATGGGGAAGTCTCACGTTACAGGGCCGCGTGGCTCGTGGGTGAGAGGGCGCCGTGCATGCTGAGGCAGCCGATCAGAACTTTGGGCTTCAGCCTGTCTGCCTCTGAAGCCTGAACCATTGCTGTCTGGCTCTGTGGCCTCCATGACCTTGAGCTGGAACTTCTTGACCATAACTCAGTCCCCCTATTCCTGCGGTTGCCTGATTCAGGCTTGAAGATTGCCCACCTTGACCTCCCACAAGGAAGGGGCCAATGATCACACACCTCCGGCTCTTCTGCTTTGGAGTTTGGATGTGATGGCTGGAGCCTCAGCTGCCACCTTGGCCCTGGGTGATGGACTGTGCCGTGGTTACCTCCCCGTGAGTTTCACTTCTGGGTTTCACTAGGGTGAAAGGGGATGAAATGGGGTTGCTCCCTGTAGTCAGTGGCAAAGCTGAGCTAGAAGCTGAGTGCAGGTGGGAAAGCCACCCTACTTCCTGTGAACCCCACCACTGCGCTTTGGGTCCCACCTGCTGAAGAAGGGCCTGTGTTTACTGTCACATGTGGCAGCCGAATTTTGGATGCTTTCAGGGTCCCTGAGTTCCCGGAAACTAACATGTATTGGACCCCTGCCGTGGCTCTGCACTGCTCACTTCCTGAGCCCTCCCTGAGCCGGTGGGAAGCTGACTGCGCCCATTTCACAGATGGGAAAACCAAGCAGAGAGGATCCAGCCACTCCCCAAGCCAGAGAGAGCTGGTAAGCATCGGCCTGGACCTGGGGCCACACACCCTGTCTGAAGACAGGCTCCGGCCACCGCCCCTGCTCCTGTTCTCGCTCACCCCAAAGCCAAGCAGCTGCTCCTCCCTGTCCCTGTCCTGCTGCTGAGTCACACTCGTGTTTGTGCCCAGCAGCGTAAACACCAGGTCCCCTGCAGAGCAGGCAGGGACTATCCAGCCACAGCTGCCAGGGGGCCTCGGTGGGGCGTCACGCAGGCACAGCCAGGGTGGGCACCCGGCCGCCGACACCTCCTGGGGGCACCGATAAGGGCCCAGCTCCGCTTATCGGCTGCGTGCCCTGCCCGGCCCAGCCTCGGAGCTCGGCGAGCCGCGCACCGCAGAACCTGCCTCTGGGTCCGGGAGCCTCCTGCTGGCCTGAGGCGGAGGAATTGAAGGGAGTTTTCTAAACTGTAAAACCAGCATCGTGGGCAGTTTCCACCCGAGACCTGTCCATTCTCACAGAGATAGCGCGGTCACCAGGGAGCCCCAGGGTCCCCAGGAACCCAGGCATGAGGCCGGCGGGGTTTGCGCCCTTCCTGACAGCGCCCTGTGCTGTTGCAGCTGAGAACCGAGCAGGGCCCGGAGCCGTGGTGCCCGCCGTGTGCCTCCATGCTGCTGAGCTGGGCAGGGCCCGGCCGCCGCTCCGGTCCCCACTGTGCCTCGGGTGCAGGTCACCAGCTCCACCTTCTAACCCGTGAGGCCCAGCGCCCATCCCTGTCCAGAGCCTTCTGGGGCTCCAACGGCCCATTTTACAGACTGGGACACCGAGGCTTGGAGCATGGGGGAAGCTTGCCCAAGGTGACACGGCGAGTGGCTGCCAGAGCTGGGTCCAAGCCGAGGGTCAGGCAGAGCGGCTGGGAGTGGGGAGAGGGGTGGTGGGGAGGGCGGCCCAGCGGGGCTTCTCTGGCCTCCTGAGCAGCTGCTCCTGGGCTCTCTGCTTTGCCAGGGCCCCGTTCTCCTGGTCCTTGCCGGTGGGGGACCCGGGGTGGACAGGGGCAGGACACTGGTGATGGGCAGGCAGAGAGGGCGGGAAGGAAGGGGCCAGGTTGGGGAGGCGCAGGGAGCCCCTCCTCCTGAGAAGGCCCTGCGCTGGCCCCAGG